TAATAACCCATGAGTCCATGGCCCATGGACACACCTCTAGGAGGGCTGTGAAAATGGGAGAAAATGTCATGATGGCAGAATTTTTGTCTGGGCAGCTGCTATTCATAGAAATGAAAAGCTACAAGAGAACTGTTTCTTGTGGAGAGGTCTCCATGGCATTGCAAGAGAAAACTCCTGTCCCTACAAAGACAGATTAAAAAAACATTGTCTTTTGGTACTTTATGGTACTGTTTTAACGTTCCAGATTTTGTATCTACGTTGTCAGGAAGGGTTACTGGAGGTTTTATTCTGGTTTCTTATTCTTGTAGTCCTGTTAATAAAGTTTCTTTATTCCTTTTAAGCCTGTTTTTCCCTTCTCCTAATCCATATCTCACAGCAAGGAGTAAGTACCCTGGTGATTTTCGGTAGCGCTAAAACCCACCACATTATTTGGTGCATTGTCCGGGAAACTCAGATTGGCGAATCTAAACCTCTAAAATGGGGCAGGTGTAAGACTTACCAGAGGACTGTGTAGTGTTCATTTCTAGACATTATTTTTGTGTAACAGTTGATTTAAATAAATCTACGTTAGCCACTTTTGAGTAGCACTGACTATATGCAACTTCCAAAGCCAAAAATAGGCAGTCAAACCTACTCTGTTGCTTTCCTTTTTGTCACATCCAGCAGACATCTGCTTTTCAAAACTGTCTTCTTCACCAGTGTCTACAGACCCTGATCTTAAAGCAGATACACAAATGGTCCTGTGTGGTACATGTGTGTGTACATGCATGTGCACACCCATATACCATTTGTGCTCAGAATTTTATGCGCACAGACAGGGCAGGGCACTTGTTAGTCTAGAGTCACAGATCCCACTCTGCACACTGTTCAGATGGATATCTGCTTTTGAAAACTTCTTAAGCTTTGGAAATTTACAGGAAAATTAAGTAATGATTAATGACAATCCTAGTTTCTGGTGTCCCAGTTTATTTCGTAAATTACTTCAGCATGAGTTGCTTCTGCAAAATGCAATTTTTTACTTTTTTTTCCCATAGTTTCATAAGTTTTGTCTTCTCCATTTTTGGTAGCAGAAAAATACCTGTGATTTTCCAATTTCTCTGTAGTTATGCTTTGTTTACTTTTTCTCCTGTAGCTGGCTTACTGTTTTTTTCCTGGTAGGAAAGCAAAAATATTTAGCCTTTGTTGCCTTAGCAATTAAAAAGCATTAAGTCATACTCCAGTCTTAGTCCCCTTGGGTCTCCTCTTCAGTGCTACTGAGATGTTTCCAAATATAATGGATAATCGTCCTGTGTTAAGAGAGATGGATTCATTGTGACAGTCCTGTGCTTACTTCTTCATAATGAGTGGATTTTAAATAATTTATAGGCAAAAATGCTCTCCCTTGAAATTTCTGGCTCTACCTGTCTCCTTGACGTCTTAATGAAGTTTTGATTAGTTGAGGACATGTTAAATGTGAGCCAGGAAACATCAGAACCAGAAATCAGGAGGGAGAAAGAAAATAATATTGCATCATTGACTGAGACATTTAACTGCTTTAGCTCTCCCCAAGTTTACAGATAGCTAAGCTAGTGTTCACTCTGAACAGACCCTTATTTGGGGTGTGCATGTAGGGTAACACAGCCCTTTCCTGCATGCTTTACACCAAATCCCTATCCTGTGTACCTACCTGTGGTGGCAGAAGCAATAGAATCAAGTTTTATGGGTTGCTTTGCTGCATCTGACAGTCATGGTTCTAAATCCTGTTGTTTCTGCCTGAAAACTTCAGGTTTATGCATATAAAGATTTTTTTTTTTACCTTTAACTTCTAAAAACCTCTCTGGGATGAATTTTCCCTGGTACATAAAACTCCTCCAGCAGTAAATTAAATTAAAATTCGCTTTACAATCTCCCTGTTGTGAAAAAGTCCCAGGACTGCCTTTATCAGCTCTGTACAATTATACAAGATCAAAAATATTATTACTTTAAGACATCCACCATGCTCTTGTTGATTGCCTGACAACCCCTGAGTTTTTCTGTGAGTAGATAACTGCTTGCCTTTTGTGCTGATCATTTTGCATTTTTACTACACCTTCTTGGGAAAGAGAATCTGATCTGATCATGGAGAATGTCCTAATGGGAGCTGCTGGTGAAATTACAAAATGGAGAAAGATTTTTTTTTTTCTAGAGATGACATCATCAAACAATAAAAGTTATGTACAGTGTAAATAACTTGTCTTGACAGTGTGCAAAGAAAATGGTCACAAACTTATATGCAAATGCTGTGTCCAGAAATGAGAGATCAGCCATAAATTCAAGAGAAATACCTCCTCAGTAGATTTGTTGTTTCTTTTCAGACACCATTAAGTAGAGATATGATGAACTAGCCTGTTCCTGCCAAGTTTCAAGGCTACTGCATGTTGTTAAAGAAATGGAATTTTGACATTTCAGAACTTGTGGGGATTTTTTGCTCTGAGTCAATCCAAAATGATTACTTTCCAGAAACTGATGTTTCAAAACTTTTATTTTGGAAAACCAGCAAATCAGCATTTGACCGATGGTATTGGTCTGCCCGAGAAGTCAGTTGCCAGTATGTAAGTCAAGAAGCTGCTCCATGTATCAGTTCCATGTGAGAAAAGTGACCCAAGAACTCTGCGGCCATTGCAGGATTTCTGAACTGTGCAGGAGGCAGGCTAAGAGGACAGAGTGGTTTGTGTCATGACCTTGTCAGTTTCTTGATTCTGATTTAATTCTGGTGTCAGGACTCAGGGAATTGAAAGCTGGACTGGACAGTGAAAGTACTGAAACTTTCTTAGATCCACAAGGTTTTGTGAGCTCCCAGGCATAACCTAAACAAAGGAAAATTACTTGTCAGTATCATCAAGAGTATTTTGGAATGCTGATTTCTCTTCAGGGCCTCTTATCATCCATTGGATTTTTATTTATGATTTATCCTTATGACTAAGACTATATTTTTTATTAAAAAAACCCCACTTTGTCAATTAAGTCATGTTTTCTTTTTCTCCAATGGGAAACTTGCCATCACTCAAAAAATTACGGAAATTTTAATTTCACTGTCTAGATTTGGTCAGTCAAAAAATGTTGCACTGTACAGGTACCTTTCAGGGACAAAGAGCAGGTGACAGATGGAAGCTTTTCAGTTTGCTCTAGATCTTCTCAAATTCCTCATGGAGACCCAGGTAGTTTCAAGCTTCCCCCATAGCTGGCCAACTCATTTGAAGGTTCTACTCCATTCTTCTAGTGCCATTGCTGAGCCATGTCAGTGAATCATGCCATGGGCCCGACTGCCCTGCACTCTCCATGCAGGACTCTGATTTCGCCTCTCTGCCGCATTAGTCCGTTGGCAGCTAGGAGTGCTGGTGCTTTCATAAATGTTTGCTGTCACTCGTGACGTGCACAAGCTGGTTTCTTAAATGAGAGACTTGGTGTTCTTAGAGAAGAGAGGAATTAGCTGGCTTTTCTTTTGTTCACCTTCATGTGAATATTTGTAGAGAAAAGCCCAGATCTTGCTCATTTAATTGGAGAGATACTAACTTAATGTGTATTAAGCAAATAAGCTGAGAGTAAGAACCAAAATGAGTATTTTTTTCTTGTTTAAATGTTAGCTAGCTCAGCTTAAAGGTCACTTCTTCCATCCATCCATTTTTGCTTAACAAGTTGTTAGAGATACACACAGTTTCTTGAAATGGAAAGTAATGACTTTTTCTTCGTTATGCAGTTCTAATCTATGCTGCCCTCAGAGATCTCTGTCTTGCTTTGTCTTGATTTCTAGCTGTTAACTGGAGTATAGCAGTAGAAAGGTGTATTGAGAAGCTGCTCACACTTAAGAGTCTTCGAGCATTAAACCTGTGGAGCTTTTAGGAGAAGCAGAAACACTGGGCACCCTCCCTCAGGATGTCTTCTGCTATATTTTTTGGTATATTTGTTGTAATTACCTCAAAATTCATTGCGCCTTAAAGCCATGCTGCACACCAGAGAAGTTAGGCTGTGGTGAGGAGGATGACAGAGATCAATATCTTTCCTCCCACTCCTCTCTGGTAGTCTTCTGTTAACTTCCCACGTTCAGGCTGCTGTCTCCAGGGATTATGTTTTTCCGAGTCTGCCACAACCTACAGCCAGCTGTAGATGCTCCCTTTATGTATCTAGATCCAAAAGTTTGTGCCAGAAGTGGGAGAGCTTATTTTTCTACTTTGGAATAGTTTTGCTGTTTGGTATTGGAATTCAACAGTTCTCAAAAATACCTTGCTTGTGAAATTTGAAATTTTGAAATTTGAATTTGAAATTGTGATTTCAAATAGTCTGTATTTGCTCATGGAAGGATCATTGTTTTACAGCTGATTAAAGTTCTGTTGACTTCAAATGCAAGGTAAAGTAGCCTATGGACCACACATAGCCTGAGGCTGACTCAAAACATTAGATGAAGCATGTGTCTTGCCACCTTTTAAATGTAATATGGATCAGTCCCAGCCAGCTGAGTTGGATTCCAATGAATATATATGGTCAATTAATCAGAATAGGGAGACTCGAGGTATTTCTGTAAGGCAAGGTACTGTATGACTGACTGTCAGCTATTTCTGCTGGTGAGCTGCAGTAGATTTCTCTGAGAAGGCCCCTCCACTGCTCTTTTTGCAGACTTCTACCTAGCCATTGTGTTTGAGAAAAAGGGTTGCACTGCCTCTTTAGAGACTGTGTTTTTCCCAGGACAGGCAAAGGTTGGGTGCTTATCACAAGGGTATAAAACCTAAGGGATGTTGTCTTTATTTATAATAGTGCATGTTCTGAATCACTTTGTAGGAGCAAAGGAATAGGGTGGGTGGTGGAACATCCCAAATTATTCTGAACTTAGAGCTTTGATAAGAAAGGTATGTCTTTATGTTTTGTCTTTATGTATCTGTCATGTAGGCTTTCGCAGCAAGTAACTATTTTACTAATGAAGAAACCAAAAATTCGACTGTTTTTGCTTTCAACTAGCATCCTTAAACTTACATTTTTTTTCTTCAAAGGCAGCTGTATAACATGGGAAGACAAGAAGATCCTTTTGACATTTTGTGAATGTTACAAGAGTGTAGCAGCAAGGTGAGGTTTGCAATGTTTCAAAGCCTTATTTGTTCTTCAGTATCTATTTGTCTCATGTCTTTGTGCAAAGAGGCAATGTCAAGGGAAAAAGTAAGCCTTTAAGTATTTTAAAGTGCTCATTTAGGATTCATTTCTGAGGGAACAGAATCCTAAATCTCAGATGGTGTTTGCTTGTTCTCTGTAAAATCATCATTAAGAATTGGCCTCATTTGATATTTTAAGCACTTAAACCTACCCAAAGGAAGTCTAGCAAAGAATTACCTAGATTTTTTTTTTTAAAGAAGTTTATCTGTAAAAATGCCATTATGCTATTTTTGAATGCTCTTATGCAGACTGCACTGAGTATTGGTATATCCAAAGCATATATAAGCTTCACTTTGACTTCTCCTTTTATTAATGTTTCAGGTAACCTCCTAAAATATTATTATATCACTAAAACTCTGCTACTGGTTTTATTAGTAACCAACCAGCCAAAACAAGTTTCTGATGTCTTAAACTGTGCTGCCTAGCAGTGTTTGGAACCACAGACTGCATCTGCATCATGCTATGAGGCATTTAACAGAGAACCACTTAGATAAATTTTCTGCCTCTTATGGGTTCATGCTCATAACTGGCTTTTACAGAAGTGCGTTTTGGAAAGTTGTCTCCAGCTGTGCCTGTGTGTACAGCAGTGACACTCAGTTCTCCCTCACAGCACTGTGCTTGCAGGGGTCTGCAGCCAGTCAGAGAATTTAAACAGGAACTTCCAGGGGTTAAAACAGAACAGCTGCTGAAACTCCCTGCAAAACCTTAATCCAACCACCCCTGCCAACTTTCTGCAGCTCAAATAAAAGGTCTACATATAGTGTGTGACATTTCCAGTGCTCTGGGAACTGTGTAAAGAAGTGCATTAGTAGTACTCCCCTATGGAGGAGCTGGGCTGTGTTCATAAGCTCTGCAGACAATGGACATAGCACAAAAAAATTAGCAAAGACAGTGGATTAGGCTAGTCATATGCTCAAGAAACTGTGAGAAAAAGAAGATAATAAAAAGGTTTTTGTCTCTACCTTTCTTTTTCCCACTCATTTTTAAAACACTGTAATTGTGAAGGCTGTTTTATTATATTATAGGAATGATTTTATTATATTAAGTTATTCTACACAGAAGAATCATAAAAGAACTTAATTTGGTACAAGGATTCAATTCCAGAATGTTTTAATTCTTTCTGTTATAGCAGGTATGAATGCATGCTGAGGCAAGATAACCATTTAGTGGTATTATTGCTTGGTATAACTCTTTCTGTGAAAGGTCACTAATAAGAAGAGTTTTGGTTTGATATGTTTTTTGTTTTAGTTTGGGGTTTTTGGTTGGTTTGGAGTTTTGTTTTATTGTTGGTTAGAAGCATTTTTTAATTGTTAAATGACTTCAGGATATCTCAAGATTCCTCTTTCCTGCTGAAGTGATTAAGAGAAGTAAAAAGGTTTGGCAACCTGTCATTGTCCTCTTCTCTGACAGTAGTTTTGTTACTTGAAGGAAGTGATTTGCAAATAATATCAAGTGTAAATTGAGCAGAGAAGGTCTCTTGATTGCAGCTCAGTCTGATTTTTCTAAATCTTCCACATGAAAAGCTTGTACTGCTCTGACTGACAGGGCAATTTCAGCGAGTAATGAGTAAAGATGGATGTCCCTGAGCAGTTAATCAAATTTCTCTTTGGCAACACTCTCTGTCAATATTTGAGGCAGTCATTTTAATTGTTTCAGATTCCAGGTGAAGGAGCATCATAGCCATGGACTCCCCTTGTGCTAGATGATATAAAACTTGGTGATAGTAATAGATACCCAAAGAAGTAGTGTACTTTTGAAGTACATTCTCTTGATGGGAGTCAGCCTCATCAGAGAGATGTTTGCAAATGGCTTCTGCCCATGCAGGGTTGGTTTTGGACCAGGTACAATTGCTTGCTGCAACAAGAAAAAAAGCAAGCAAAAAGTAACCATAAGATAAAATGCTTACTAGTTGTTTTCTTTGTTTCAGAACATCTTTGTTCCAAAATGTCTTCTCAGATCTGTCTTTCTACTTTGTATTCCTCTTTATATATGCAGTAGTCCTACTGTCCCACTGGCATGGGTGAAGGAGAACTAGCTCAAGCCTTTGCCTGGCTCTGAATTTGTTTGGATGTTTTCATTCTTTCAAAGTGGACGTCTGACCTTGGAGGGAGTAACCGAGATCTGAAGCAGCAGTGCAGTAATTCTGTCAGTTCTGTCAGCAGTTTCCTACATTGCAAAACCTGACAAATCTTTCTGCCAGCATCCAGAATTAGTCTCTGGAAGATCCTATCTGGCAACAGTGCAAGAGATGAACAGCCTTTGCTTTGCATCAAGGCAGAACTGCAAGCAGAGAGTTGGTGCTCCTACACAGACACAAGTTTTCCCATGTGCTGCCAATACCTTGCTGTTTAATTCTATATACGCATGAATATGTATGTGTATGCTCAGAAAAGAATCACAGAATGAAGAAATCTCCAGGAGATAGAGTGAAGAGCGTGACACAGTGAGAATGACAGATATAGTCTTTGTTACGTTTTCATTTGAAACACAGTTTATCCAAGAAGATAACAGATACAAAAGCTCCAGGAAACTCTTATGAGACATGGGAAGGTGTAAACAGCATTCTGTCACTACTCAGCACCTGATTAGGCCTAGCAGACCAATGCTTATCTCTTTGTTAGCAGTAATCTATAAATCTGTCTGAAACACTGAGGGTTCATGCATTTTTGCTCAGCTATACCCCACAGTCCTGTTAAAATCAATTTGAAGACAGAAGTTAGCCCTAAGAAAGAGGTGGCAAGAGTCATTTCTGTCTTGGTGGTTTGTTGTGGGATAAAGCATGATTATACATTTAAACTTTTATTGCTGGCATTCAGAACCACATGGGCAGGCATAGAATTTCATGAATGTAGTTATGATCCTGTTTGTAAGTGGATTTCAACCCACATGTTCTGAGTGTCTGTGATGAGTTATGTCATTACATTGTGTTGGGACTGCACCTGAAGGGAGAATGGGATAAGTTTAAGGTTGGTATATTTTATGTTTAGTTTTTGTTGTCTCCAAATGAATAAATGCTCTCACAAACCATGCAAGAGTTCATTTTTAAGGCTTTCATCTTCTCAAGAATGAGAATTTCAGTGTGTGAACAGAAAAGCAAAACCCAACATTCACTCTTTTCCAAGATATAAACCTTAACATCCATTTTTTTCTTGCAGACAGAATATTTTTCTGCTGTCACGCTTCTTTGGTTCCTTCTTGCTCTTTATGTCTAGCAGCTGAGCCCTCAGCTTAAGGTTGCAATATCACGGTAAAAATATTTTTCATATACTGAAAGCTTTCTTTTGTTTTATGGCCAACCAAAGCCAAGAGAATAAGTCAGAGTGTCAAGTGAGCAGCTCCTAGCAGGGTCAGAGGGCGCACCAGATCTTTTATCAGACATTTAATCACCTAAGTTTGATTTCACTCATGAAGGACTCTGGATGAAAACTTCATTTCTTTTACTGAACTTTTCTGTCCTGATGCCAAAGTGGCAGTCCCTGCACTTTGGTGTGTGTGGGATGACCACTTTACTAATGTCCATGCATAAAGGGACAGCAAGGGAGGAAATACTAAGATAACTTGAAGCTTGGAAATGGGTGTTCTAGCTGCCCCACTTTGAACTTGATGCTATGCTAGGAGATATGTTTCTTCTTCAGTTTGGTATGGTAACATCTCACTGGCCCTGGACCAAGTGTTGACAAAGCTGCAAATAAGCTGAGATACTGAGCAGGGAACAAAAGCCACTATGGCAAAAGTGTGTGTGATGAAAGAAGTGAGTCTCTAGCTGGTGCTCACAGGTGCACAGGAGTGATCAACATTTTGTCTAACTTCTCAAGGCTTGACAGATGAAGTGCTTCTGCAATGAGGTCTCATCCCTGGAACATTTGTTCAGAGAAGGGGAATAAATATTTTTCAGCTGAACATCCTTTTGAAATGAAAACCATTATCTTTGCAGGCTTCAGTTATCTCCTTTATGAGGCTTCTCAAGGAATGTACCAAACACAGTGGAGGAGCTCTATATCTAAAAGGCAAACCACAATCCTTTAAAATAAACACCCCAACCAAACTAAGGAAAAAAGAAACAAATAAGGAAAAAAGAAACAAACAGCAGCAATATGAAAGAAATTAGTAAAATATCAAGAAACTGAAACAATCTCCTGAAAGCTGCCTTGCTGATCCCTGAATGCTGAGAACTGAATAGATGTGTGTGTAGTAAAATAGCTATAAATGAGGTGTATACATTGCTAAACGTCAGTTAAACGTCTGAAAATATTTCAAAGTTAAGTTCCACAGACAAAATATTTCAGTTAAACGTCTGAAAATATTTCAAAGTTAAGTTCCACAGACAAAATATTTTTCAAAGTCAATTGCTCTAAAGGCAAGGAAGAGTTCTCCAAAGTTTGAGAGAATAATATTTCCTCCAATTTGGAATGTAGTTGAAAAGGAATGAACCTTATCACCAAAGGATAAGGAACAAGTTAAAAAACACCTTCAATCCTTGCCTGCTGCAGATGACCCTGATTGACTTTGAGACACTAACAAAAGCTTAATCTTGTTTGCAGTGTATTGAGAGATGGCTGGGACAGATTGACTGTGAAAGGGTAGTCTCTGAGATGAGCTTAGAATGAAGCATGAAAGGTAAATTGTTTTAAAAGTTCCAAAAACCATTACATTTTCCCTTGTAACTTTGCTTAAACCTTTTAAATTCTTGTCTGCCCTACAAAGACACAAAGCAAATGCAATCGCTTTTGCACCCCAAGGAAAATTTCAGAAGTTCTACTGGGTAAATGGATGTAGATGGGTAAGGGTTGAAGAATTCAGCCAGTGAGAGCAAGATTTCTATCACTGACATAATGAAAAAGATATTAAAAACTAGAAATACCTGCAGACAACAGGTATTAATTGTCATTAACAAGTCAGATCTTAATTGCTAACCA